TAACAATTATAGGGCAGTGCGCTAACTGTTGCGCCACCGCTCCATCTCTTGCGCGTAACACACGTGTCGTGCACGTGTGGTGTGTCTGTTCGTCACTCTTTGACGTTTCATCATCATCAGCCGCCATCGTCTATCCATGCCGGAAACACGAACCCCCCCCTCTCTTGCGCCGTTCTGGCTTTCATAGCCGCTCGCTAAAAAGCACTTGCCCCAACAAATGCCGGATGTAGCTTGTGCGGGCCCTGCAGCATCTATTATGAAGGGGCCCTAAATAAAAAAAAACGTAACAAATAAAACATACATTTTTAGCTTGCAATGTAAAGTAATTGCATTTTTTCATTTGCTATACAGCCAGGTATCACGACTTCGCTAACCTTAAACACCCAGTCGTCCATAAAAGTTGAAGGCGCTATAGTACTATAGTAATAGAGCAAGTGCAGAATCACTGAACCGGAATTGATAGCTTGGAAGCATTTAGCGCGGGGCCCTTGAAAGGGCGGGGCCCGTAGCATTTGTAGCTACTTTAGCTACGAGGATAATCCGGCACTGGCCCCAACAGTCTGTGATGGCTACGGGGTTAGGGGTTTCTTTGTCTTTGTGTGTGCGAATTAAAATGAAGTGAGGTCGCCCAGAGACACGCTTCCTGGAAGAGCCGAGGAATATCCCGCAAGGGACAGAGCACAGGAAGCAGCCAGGCGGGTTGGGCTGAGGAAGAGTGTGATGATGATGATGATGGGGAGGAGGAGGAGATGGGATAGGAGACCTAAACTTCCGCTTATTGTGTAGGGGAAGCCTATGACCGACATCGTCACCCTCGTCATCAGCCGCGGTCTCTTCTGGGAGGGGTGCGGCAGGCCTTGGTGGAGGATGGTCGCCAAATACCTACTATAATCACCCAGGAATGTCTTTAACGCTCGTGACGTCACTCCACATCGACCAGCCCCCTCATTAATAATCATGAGCGGGTGACGTCCTCCAAATGGACACCGCCCTACCCCTCATTAATAATTGAGCAGGTGACGTCACTCCACATCGACACCCCCCCCGCTAATTAATAATCATTAGGTGACGTCCTCCAAATGGACCCCCCCCACCACTCATAGTAATTAGCGGGTGACGTCACTCCACATGGGGGGGCCGAGGCGCCTCCTCCCCTCTCCTCGGCGTCAACTGACAACCCTCACTACAGAGGTAGAACCCTCACGTCACGTGATCTCCGTGACGCTGTTGAGACATCAAAGTAAAAAAGGACGTCACGATGAACAAGGGATTATAACCTATACATGAAAAAGGTCTGTGTCACCGCGCCCTTACAAATTGCACACGCATTAATGTAATGGATATCACATCACGGTCTGCTTGTCGCTTGCAAGTTTCAGATTGACTGCATTACACCCGTCCTTGGACGGGCAAAAGGCGAGTGTTGGTATGTTTATTGATTGACCAGAGGACGTGCCTTGCGTTGGGTGTTTACAAGTACAAACGAATTTAATGTGGCGATGCTGCTGCTGCATTGGCAGTGGTGCACAAGCAGTACCAACAACAACGCCGTGTGTGTGGCCTTGAGAGGGTAACAACAATTTACCATAGGCGACGTTTCGGGCTATGACCCTTCTTCCCTCCTTGGGGATTTTCTGCATGCGCCCTTGGTCCGCCCACTTGGATGAAGGCCTCCCCGAGACGCGTGCAACGAATGCAGCGCAACGGAGGGCGTTTGCAGTTGGCATTACCTGGAGGGGCGGGGTGAGACGTGGGGGTGGAGGGGCTGGGTGAGATGTGTGGGGTGAAGGGGCGGAGTGAGACATGGGGGGGGGGGGGGTGAGACGTGGGGGGTGAAATTGGGCCAAAGCACCTCTGGCCATGGCTTGTGTCTCAAGGGAGCGTTAGCGATCGCAAGTGGTGGTGATGGGAGGTGGTGGAGGTGATGATGGGATGGGGAGGTGGTGGTGATGGGATGGGGAGGTGGTGGTGATGGGATGGAGAGGTGGCCGTGATGGGAGGTGGTGGAGGTGATGATGAGATGGGGAGGTGGTGGTGATGGGATGGGGAGGTGGTGATGGGATGGAGAGGTGGTGGTGATGGGATTGGTAGGTGGTGATGGGATGGGGAGGTGGTGGTGGTGATGGGATGGAGAGGTGGTGGTGATGGGATGGGGAGGTGGTGGTGATGGGATGGGGAGGTGGTGGTGATGGGATGGGGAGGTGGTGGTGATGGGATGGGGAGATGGTGGTGGTGATGGGATGGGGAGGTGGTGGTGATGGAATGGGGAGGTGGTGGTCATGGGATGGAGAGGTGGTGGTGATGGGGAGGTGGTGGTGATGAGATGGGGAGGTGGTGGTGATGGGATGGGGAGGTGGTGGTGATAGGATGGGGAGGTGGTGATGGGATGGGGAGGTGGTGGTGATGGGATGGGGAGATGGTGGTGATAGGATGGGGAGGTGGTGGTGGTGATGGGATGGGGAGGTGGTGGTGATGGGATGGAGAGGTGGTGGTGATGGGATGGAGAGGTGGTGGTGATGGGATGGAGAGATGGTGGTGGTGATGGGATGGGGAGGTGGTGGTGATGGGATGGGGAGGTGGTGGTGGTGATGGGATGGGGAGGTGGTGGTGGTGATGGGATGGGGAGGTGGTGGTGATGGGATGGGGAGGTGGTGGTGATGGGATGGGGAGGTGGTGGTGGTGGTGGTGATGGGATGGGGAGGTGGTGGTGGTGATGGGATGGGGAGGTGGTGGTGGTGGTGGTGATGGGATGGGGAGGTGGTGGTGGTGATGGGATGGGGAGGTAGCTGCTTACAGCTCCGGAGCCGCAGGTTGCCTGCCCTACCACTCCCCCTACCACTGCCGCTCCCCCTATCACTCCCCCTACCACTCGCCCTACCACTTCCCCTACCACTCCCCCTATCACTCCCCCTACCACTCCCCCTATCGCTCCCCCTATCGCTACCACTGCCGCTCCCCCTACCGTTCCCCCTACCACTTCCCCTACCACTCCCTCTACCACTCCCACTGCCGCTCCTGCTACTCCCTGCATCGCGGGCCTACCCCAACCCCTCCTTAACCACCCCACCTGTCCTCCCGTCACCATAACAACACCCACTCATTATTTGAACCACTTTCATCGTATGCACAATGCGGTTATTGTTGTAATGCGCCATTCGCTAAGCCGCTATATAAAACGACTTGAGATAAGATGACGTGCAAACAGTGCAGTTGTACAGCTCCGCACCACTCCAGAGTTTCATACCTGCCTCTCGCCCCCCACCACTCTTCTTGGCTGTAGGAGACCCACCCACCCACCTCTGTGTGTGCGCGCGCGCTATCTGATAGTGGGGAGAGGTAGCGTCACCGGTTAGCACGCTGCAATAACCGAGGTATCGATTCCCGCCCATTTCCAACATCGGTGACGATGATCTGAACCGGTCTTGGGCCTGCTCTAGGTCGACTCGGCCTCAAATGAGTACCCGGTGTAACCATCGCCACTTGAGAGACAAAGGCGGCCGGGCGTGGTGTTGGCCACTCCCTCGTGTGCCGTGCCGGCCTTCATAGGTGCTCGCTAACAGCACCTGCCCCAATAGTCTGTCAAGGCTATACGGGGGATCTTTGGCTTTGCTGTCTAATGGATGCACCACGCAGGGATGGGCGAGGGAGAGAGACAATCGGGAGCGGTAACCCCCCCCCTCTCTCTGTGTGTGTGCGGTAATTATACAGGAAGCGCGTGTTTACGGCCACCGTAATGCATCTTTTATAACGGCTTAATTGAAATCAAACGCGCGGTGATGGCTTTACGTTGGACGCGCTGAACACACAGATCCATAACGATTTATAGACCCCCCCCCCACCCTCTTTGGTCGATCCGCTGCTGGATGAGGACGTCTTGCCCGTGCCTTCGTTTCATTCATGGGGGCGGGGTTTGAGGAGGGGGGGCTGTTTGACCATACTTCACCACACTGGTCAGTCCAGTGTGATGAAGTAGTGGGTGGGTGGGGTAGGGTGGATTACATCGTTGGGGCAAAGGCAGAGACGCGGAGGGTCCGGCTCCGCTGAGAACCTGGGGTTCAGGCGGGGGTCTCAAGAGCAGCGAGATGATGGCCTCAGCCCAGCCACTGTGTGGGGGAGAGTGTCGGGGAGAGAGAGTGTGGAGTGCGGGGGGAGTCTGTGGGGAGTGCGAGGGAGTGGAGGACGTGGCAAGGATTTACAGGGGAGGAGGTCACAGCTTCAGCCGCGAGGCTTAATAAATATTCATGTATGTACCGCGGAGATGCATGTATGCATATGTATGTGCGTGTGTGCATGTAGCAGAGGGCGATGTGTGAGTGTGTGTGTGCAACGAACCCAGTTACCCGGGTTCAATTCCTGCTCACGGCTAACGTCAGTGGCGAGTAATTTCTGAACCGGTCCCTGGCTCCTCCCCCCTAGGTCGACTCAGCTTCCAATGATTGCCTGGGACGACGTGTAAAAACATGAGCACTGGGAAGACAAAGTCAGCCAGGCGTGGTGCTTCCATGTACCTCCCTGCATCTCTCCTCTGTGTATCTCCATACTCGCTTGTGTCTCACCGCGTCTCCCAGAATCTCCCCATGTCTCACCGCGTCTCCCAGTATCTCCCCATGTCTCACCGCGTCTCCCTGTGTCTCCCCCACGTCTCCCCGTGTCTCACTGCATCTCCCCATGTCTCACTGCATCTCGCCATGTCTCACTGCATTTCCCCACGTTTCACCGCATCTCTGTGCCTCGCTGCATGTCCCTGTGTCTCACCGCGTCTCCCTGTCTCACTGCATGTCCCTGTGTCTCACCGCGTCTCCCTGTCTCACTGCATGTCCCTGTGTCTCACCGCGTCTCCCTGTGTCTCACCGCGTCTCCCTGTGTCTCACCGCGTCTCCCTGTGTCTCCCCACGTCTCCCCGCGTCTCCCCTTATCTCGGCGCGTCTCCCCCCCCCCCCCCCCCCCCCCACCGTGCGTCTCCTCACCCCACCGCGTCGTCTCTCCGTGTCAACCGGCAGGCCTGGACGACTCCCTGCAGGAGTACGTGGGGCGCGTGGAGAGCGAGAAGGTGGATGGGGAGCAGCTCCTCGCCGTGTCGCACCAGGAGCTCGAGGAGCTCGGCGTGGCGCGCATCGGCCACCAGGAGCTCATCCTCGAGGCCGTGGACCTCCTCTGTGCCCTGGTGAGCGGGAGCGGTGGCGTGTGGGTGAGGGGGAGCGGTCGACAGAGGGGAGGGATAGTCGATGTGGGGGCTTTGGTTGTGGAGTGCGGCGCAGATTGAGGACCTCTGTCGTGGTGAAGAGGCGAAGTTGCTGTGTGACGTTGAGGATGTGAAGACTTCTGTCGGGGTGAGGGGTGAGGATCTGTGGCATGGTGAGGAGGTGAGGTCCAGGGTCATGGTAAGGAGGTGAGGAGGTGAGAATCTGTCTAAGAAGGGTGGTGATTTGAGAAACCTGCCCCATGGTTTATATCTCCCTCATCGGGATATGGAGTCGAACTCGCAGTCTCTGGATTGCTGGTCCGGTGTGCTGGGTGTTGTTACCCCGGTGTCGCAGAGATAGACCCCGGGACATGTGAAGAGAAACAAAGAGAGACATAAATAAGAAATGTAATAAGTGTTGCCCGCAACTTGTTATCGTTACGCTTGGAGAATCTGGGGAATTGCTGTGTTAATGTTTCCGTGTGTGTGTGTGTTGCGTCGAAATCCTGCCCTTCTGTTGCAGATTCTTTGTTCAATCCCACACGAAGTTTTATGTTTATACTTGCGTGTAAGTGTGCGTGTGTGGGTGTTTTTGAGTAGCGGGGAGTGGTGGTGTAGGGGTTAGCGCGCTGCCCTCTAAAACCCGGCGAGCCGAGTTCGATTCCATCTCGTGGCCAACACCGGTGACGATTATTTGAACAGGCCCTGGGCCTCCCCTAGGTAGACCCAGCCTCAAATGAGTACCCGGTGTGGTGTGTAAACATCGCCACTTGGGAGACAAAGGCGGTGGGGCGTGGTGCTGCCCACCCATTCTCTCGTGTGCTGTGCCGGCCTTCATAGCTGCTCGCTAACAGCACTTGCCCCAACAGTCTGTTAAGGCTACACGGGGGATCTTTGTCTTTGGGACGTGGTGGGGAGCAGTGGCGAGCAGTGGGGCGCGGTGGGGTCATCACTCTGCGCGACGAACCCGGCCACCCGAGTTCATAACTCCAGCTCACGACTTCCAATAAAAGTGGCGAATATTTGATCGGGTTCTGGGCCTTCCATCCCAAAGGTTGACTCGGCCTAAAAAAAAATAATAGCTAGCGCTGCGTGTGAATACGCCATGCTGGCCTTAATAGGTGCTCGCTAACAACACTTGCCCCCAACAGTCTGTTAAGGGCGACACGGAGAATCTGTGTATTCGGAATGAAATGTCAATGGTGCGCCCTGTGTGTAATGCACAACAGGGCCGGAGTTCACGTGGCCATGCTTCACCGCGACGGTGGGTCAAGTGAAGTAGGCATCGTCTTCGGTCGCGTCACGTGTCGCTCGCTCTGGGGTTTCCAGCCTTCGGGGGGGGGGGGGGGGGGGGGGATTAAATAATTTCGTTGACTGCGTGCGAAAAGGAAACCGGTTGGACGTGCGAAATATCTTGCGAGAAACAACAACGCCATCGGGCTTGGTCCGTTAATCGCTCGGAGCGGATGGATGTGCGCAATTGAGCTGTAAATAATCATGAAAGGAACGAAACGAGAGGAGTGCTGGCGGTGTTGGTGGCCGTGGGAACGCAGTGAAATAGTGCGAGCGACAGAGTGCAGGAGGAGGAGAGAGCGAGAGAGAGAGAGAGAGCGAGATCAGCAGCAGCAGGAGCGAGCGGGCGAGTGGGACAGAGAGAGTGTTTGTTGTATTTTTATCTCAATTTATTTCTGTCCGGAGAGGCACAGAATGAGTGCGGCTTTACTGTGGCCACAGAGAAAGAGATCGAGACATGGACCCCTCCAACCCCTCTCTCTCTCTCTCCCTCTCCGTACGCTGGTGTCCTGCGATTGTCACTGCCCCCCACCCCCCCCCTCCGCTCCACACCCCCCCCCCCCCCCCCATCATTTGTTCTTGCTCTGCGCTGGCTCGGCCACATATAGCCCCCCCCCCTCCCCCCTTTACACCCCCCACTCCCCCCCCCCCCCTTGAGGCAAGATCGGATGTGCACTCACATGTGGGAGTGAGGAAAGGGGAGCGCATAGAGAGAATTGATTGTGTGCAGGAGGAGGAGGAGAGAGTGCGTGGGTGAGTGTGCGTACGTGCGTGATGCTGCCCACCCACCCCTCCACGGGTGGGGAGCGGTGGTGTAGCGGTTAGCGCAATGCCGCGCTACTAAACCCGGCGACCCGAGTTCGATTCCCGCGCACAGCCAACACCGGTGACGATTATTTGAACCGGTCCGGGGTCGCCTCCTCTAGTTTGTACCCGATGCGGTGTGTAAACATCGCCACTAGGGAGACAAAGGCGGCCGGGCGTGGTGCTGGCCACCCACCAACCCCCCCGCGCGTGCCGTGCCGGCCTTCCAAGGCGCTGTTCGCTAAGAGCACTTGCCCCAAACAGCCTGTTGAGGCTATAGGGGGATATTTGTCTTTGTGATGCCGGCCACCCAACCCCCTCGTGTGCCCTGCGTGCCTTCAATAGGGAGCTGCTCGCTGCAGGCACTTGCCCCAAACAGCCCGGTGAGGCTACCTGGGGGATCTTTGTCTTTGCCTGTGTATAAATATCCAGGCTTGACATAGCCAGGGTGGGGGGGGGTACCATGCGCGTGTGTGCCGTGCCGGGCTCCATAGGCGTGCTCGCTGACAGCACTTGCCCCAACAGTCTGTTGAAGGCTATACACGGGGGCATCTTTGTTTTTGTAGAGAAACGGTAGCGTAGCGGTTACCGCTCTTAACCCCACGAGTTCGATTCGATTCCCGCTCAAGGCCACCAACACCCAGCGACGCTGATCTGAACGGGTCCTGGGCCTCCCCTAGGTCGACTCAGCCCAAAATGAGTACCTGCTGCGGTGTGTACGGTAAACATCGCCACTCGGGAAACAAAGGCGGAGCCGGGGTGGATCTGGCAACCACCAAACCCCGCCCCCCACGCGTCGTGTGTCATAGATGCTGCTGGTCCGCTCACGGCACTTGCCCCAACAGCCCGCGTAGGCTACACGGGAGAGCTTTGTCTTTGTTGTGCACGCGTGGGGTTCCCGATGGGAGGGAGGAGTGGGTGGCTGGAGGGGCGGGGGTGCGGGGTTGGGGGGCTTGGCAGACAGGTTTCCTGCCTGGTTCAAGAAAAACAAAGACAAAGATCACCCTCCTCTGCCCCGTGTCGCCTCCACGGGGGGTGGTGGGGGCGGGCAAGTGTTGTCGAACCTCCCCTAGGTCGACTCGGCCTCAAATGGGTAACTTGGTGCGGATGTGTGACAAATAAGAATGGGTTTTACAACTTTCTGGCAATGCGATCGGGCGTTAAGATGTTCGGACACCAAACAAGATACGGTCTGCATGGACCACGCGCACTTGTGGTGAGCATGCAATTAGTGCGGATGTGTGGACAATCAATCGGCACTCGGGGGGAGACAAAGACGGCCGGGGGTGTGGTGCTTCCCCCCTCCCCTTCCCACCTCTGCACCCCGGCCTCTCGTGCGCCTTGCAGCACTTGCCCCCAATAGTCTATAAGGCTACACGAGGCGTCTTTGTAAATGTATGCAGCGTCTGCGTGCTGTTGGCACAGCAGGGAGAGAGAGTTCGCTGTTGCATCGGCTGGCAGCCTGGGAATATTAACCCGCAACATCTGGGTCTCTCACATAACCTCACAGCTCGCATTCACCACCCACTCCACGTGCGTATAAGCGTGAACCTAGCCTGGCACAATCGGTGACGTCACCGCCGACGCACGAGTGGTGAATGACGGATGTTGTGATAAACAAAGTTCCACCATTATTGTGTCTGAATAAGTAGAATAAAAAGGCTACGATTTACCCAGGACAGCCTCACGGAGTCTCAAGGCGCTGTGTTGACTGAAGGGTCCTGCCACTGCCATTGTGGATGGAGTGCCGTGGTGGCTATGAGATGTTAACTACTTCGCCTGGTATACAGGAGGTCGTGGGTTCGATCCCGACCCTGAAGCCTGTTGTATATTTGGAGTTTGCGTGTATATCTCCCCGTGGTCGTGTGGATTTTTTTTTATACGAGGTGTGGTGGACACTCAAAAAGCTCCACACAGATGGATTCAATAAACCATTGCTGTTACTGCCACCGTTTGCACATGCAATGAAATCAACTGTTCATAATAAAGGTTTTTGGGTTAGATCGCGTTGTTTATATGTGTCGTAACCCTCCACCACCCGACAAGGCCAATCAGCAATAAAAATGTCACGTTGACAAAATACAAAATAGTTCACTACTTTAGCCCACCGGTGTGTTGAAGAGTGAATCCACAACATTTACAGTTTGAGTACGACGTTTCGCTGGTAATTACATCCAGCATCATCGGGCAATTCGCCAGAATTGCCCGATGATGCTGGATGCTGATGCTGGATGTAATTACCAGCGAAACGTCGTATTCAAACATAAATGTTGTGGATTCACTCTTCAACACACCGGTGGGCTAAAGTAGTGAACTATTTTGTATTTTGTCAACGTGACATTTTTATTGCTGATTGGCCGTGTCGGGTGGTGGAGGGTTACGACACATTTATAAATAACGCGATCTAACCCAAAAACCTTTATTATGAACAATATTGGTCGCGAAAGCCTACGTGTTAAACTGAAATCAACTGTGTTTGCAAACATTCACACACAATCACGCGCGCTCATTCGCAGGGATTCAATACACGGCCGACGACTCGAAGAGACGATACAATGCTGGATGTCGTTTGCGAATCTCTCGAGGCTTTGTGGCGAATGCTCACTGCCTCTAGTGGCTGCAGGGGCTTCCGTGAACCCATCGCGGTCACACGGACCTCGTCCCGAGTCTACCACGTGTGCTGTGCGACAGATCGCCGAGCTTTGGAATCGATGAACCGTCGCATCGCTGCCCCGTCTGCCACTCTTGCCACGAGTGCTCTATAACTGCGCTCTGCTCTGCTACTACGCCTGACGCTGTGCGCGTGGTTTGTTTACGTGAATGACCGTGACGGCAGTTTTTTTAACACCTGTTGTTGATTTTCTTGTCATGCGCCCTTTGTTGTT